GCGCACATGTCTTACAAATGATCAATTTACTCGCGAACGGTAAAACGTAGCAACTTACTTTTTTATTCTCTGTGAAGTACACATTCAAGGCTTTTTTTTCAAGGCTTTGATTTGTCTCTGCGACGCACGGGGGATAAACTACGTTTGTCTGAAAGTCTGTGTCTAATTGGATCTTAGCGGTGCCCCGTGAGGTACAAACAGCTGTGAGATATAAACACACGGGGACTGCCAAAGATCGTCAGAGTGAGATGTCTCACTCCTCTGTGTGTACTTGTTCTCCCACAGTTGAAACTACAGCTGCGATTGCAATAACCGGCTGAAGAGTGCGCATTATTGATAAAGACGATAATAAATACAGTAAAATTACATTATGTGTATATGATTTATATAAATATATGCATGTTTTGTTTTTGTTTTTTTTTCTTAGTTTCTTATGTTTTAAGTTTTTTACAGCTGTGATACAGAAGCAACCCCAGCATCATAGACAAACTGCTTCAGGAAGGGCATCAGGAGTACAGTGATTTTTGTGTTTATAGTGGAATTTTGTAGAAATTATAATAGTCACAGATTCAATTTTTTTCCCCATTATCCCCATGACCTCAAATAACATTTCTATGCAGTGTAAAAAGTTGTTTATAGCATTTCATTGTGTTTTTTCAATACATTTTTGTTAAATTGATTTTCCGTTTGATTTTTTTCTTTGACTTCATGATTCCATAAGTTTTATATAATTCATATGACAGCTTTACAATATGAATATTCTAAAACCCCAGGTTGTACTGAAAGTACACTGAAAGTATACTGCTCGACTCTGCATCAAAAGATGACTGTTTTATGAGCAATTATACACAAAGAAAACCAGGCGAGGAAGGTTCCCCAAAATGACCCATGTGCATAGAGGGTTAAATAATATATCTATATTATTTATCTTAACCTTTGAATGAATAAGGAAATAAATAAAAGCAGTCAAAAAATAAATAATAAAGATGTATTATTTAGTTTGTTGTTTTGAACCAAAAAACTTCAATATAAATTAAATCTCATAATTTGTAGCATTATATTTATAATGATATGCAGATTGTGAAATTAATTTATTATTGTGACAGTTTTGGTCCTCCATAGAAGTGCATCATTCTTGCCGTTTTAAAATTGAAATGAGATTATTGAACAAGTATTTTTTGCCCGTTGACAAGCGTCTGCCTCTCTCACAAACAGGACTCTCTAACGGCTCATATCTCGCTTTAAAGATCCAAACAGCATTAGACTCTCTTCTCTTGCATAGATTGCATGACTCTGCTCTTTCGCAAAAGCCAACCACTGAGCGGAGGGGTGAAGATCAAAAACTGGGACCAATACTATTTATAGATCATGCTTCGCGAGCGCCTGTTGTGGTTCTTGCGGAACCGTGCACCTGCGGGCAGAGGGCTCGGGACCCCCGCTAGTCTATGCTGCCGCTACGGACAGTGAGAGAACGTTTCCTTCACTACTCCCCCGTGAACACGACAGAGCCAGGGCCAATCAGATCTTAACACAGACGCTCAGTGAAAAAAACTGGTCTGAGCAGGTGATTTAAAGTGATCTAAGACCGATACAACGCAAGAATCTAATCGGTACAGAGAGACAAGAGCCAATGCATCCTGAATTTGCCCCTTGTGTGCATCGATACACAGAGGGGTAGCCAGGGTGGCCACTGCCACCTCTGAAAATACCCTTGCCACCCCGTGTGTGTGTGTGTATTCTCCATTATTAATTGAACATTGTATCATCGCCCTCTTCCCTTTAGTGTAAACATGAAAAGAAAAGGGTCTTTTTTGCGTCTTTTTTTGTTTAGAAAATGCCTGTAGATCAGGATGAGGAAACCTCACCTGAAGGTCAAACTCGGAGGCAGTATGTTTTGAGAATTTTCATGAGTTCGTTGTGTTGTCTTAAAATATCCATCCATCCTTTTTCTTCCTCTTAATCCATTTCTGGGTCAGGAGGGGTGGCAGTCAGAGCTGTACACAGCACCAGCCCCTCGCTGATCCTCATGCAGGTGGTGAGTCCACAGGAGCCTTGATCCTTTTTTATTATCCTAATTCATATGAGCTGTATGAAAATATAGCTCATATAAATCAGTTTCAGAGGATGAGAGGGAGTCGCAGACAGGTACAGACATTTCTTTTGAGGAAGAGGAAATACAAGAAGCAGCTTCTGAACTCCCCACGAGCTCCAAAGCAGCTCATTCTATACCAAAAGGACCAAGTGGTAGGCATGATGCATTTTTTGGTTCAGACTACTTTTTAAATGCACTGTTTTGCTTTGTAGTTTCCAAGTGCACTCAGTTCACTTTATATAAAGAATAAAGATAAGATATGCCAGTTTTTGTGTGAAGTTAAATTTCTGAATAATATAAATGTGGACCCCTTAAAAAAACCCTTGCCATCCCCTGGGCACCCTCTGTTTAAAAGTCTGGCTCCTCCACTGGTCTTACTTAACTCACAATGAATCCATTTTATTCCTTATTCAAAATGTCCTTTGATTATGACTGTGACCTCAAGATAGTTGTGATTGCTGATGGATGTCCAGTAGTCACCAGTAAGTGCTGTTTTCGTAGATTCTGCTGTACATCCCCTACGGCAGAAAAGCTTGCGGTGTGCCTAGGGCGCCGCAGGGCTCATTTCAGATGTGGTGGAAGCTTGAAGCATGTACAGCGGGATGTGAGCAGCCAGGCGTTCGTCAGCCCAAAATATAACCCACTCTTGTGGTTGTGCTCATGGTCTTTGACAGATCAGCTCCACATGCACAGAACACTTGGATTAAACATTAGAAGGAGGGCTGGCAGGTTTCAAAATGATTCTAGACTTTGTTTTCCTTTTCTTTCTAGTCTCTGACCACAGCAGTGGTCAGAGACTAGAAAGTCTCTGTCCACATGCGGACAAGAGCTTTTGTGTTTGCGTTAATCTTGCAAGGAAAAAATAAGCCATTAAAATGGGTTTAATAATGCGTTTAACTGACAACACTATTAAAAACCCAAATCACAATTTAATTGGAAAAATGTCCAGGCCTCATGCGTGCTTGAGGCCTCTGGCGCTCCTGGCATGTTTCCTTGTGTCAGGATGGGTTTCCTCCAGGCTCCTGGCCTCCAGGGACAATTAAGTATATCTTTACCTCTGCTGCTATGCTGTCCTTTTGGAGGTCGCAGGGGCTTCATGCAAGGCCTTTGTGGAATATTCTGTGCACCTAACCTATATTTTACAGCTATGTGCCACAACACTTAGTTGCTTCCCACTGCCTCATGGCTGCTTTTCCCAGCCTCTGCACAAACCTTCTCTTCCATCTGCCCAGCTTTCTCCTGAGGCTGCTCAAAGATCCAACCTTCTGGCCAGGATGAAGTCATCATGTCTTTATATCATTATATGCACCCTTTGCCTTTTTTAGGCAGAGTGAAGGCATATGGGTGGGGCCCCTTTCCTCTGCTGTTGCCACTCTTACAACAGCTCCTCACACTTTCCATGACAAGAGTATGTTACAACATGACTATAGCCACTGTTCTCAGCCCAACTATTGTGACATAGTCCTGAACAAAACTCTTCTTTCTGACTTACGTTTTACAAAGTACACTAAGTATAGGTTCCATGACCTTTTTGTATGGAAGTATATTTATATATTTATCTGACAACACACACATCAATATGCAGAATGATCCTCCAACACGCACAGATCGACATTCAGAAAGATCCTCCAACACACCCCCACACACACAGACATTTGTCAAATCAGACATGTATGTGTGTGTCTTGTTGAGATGTTGAGGATGGCTGCTGAGTTTTCTACTAACTTGGAGGTGATGTGATTGACTTTTCCTAACAAGCCTCTTTTCACTGTGTTTCCACTCGATATGTGTGTGTTTGTATGTTCCAGTGCAGGACACTGCACACTGGACCACTGTGTGCTGCTTGTAAACGTTCCACACTTTTCCCCTGTGTGTACAGACCAGCGCGGGCTCTGTAAACTGCTAGTAATTTCCAGGCCCAATGCGAATAAAGGTGGCTTTTGTCTGTGCAGGGGCAGGGGTGGGTGAGGCGCATAGGTGAGGGTGGGGGCCATGGGGCTGTCCAGTCTGGGAGCTGCATGAATGTTCCCTCAGTTCCCTCAGACATCACACCTCCCTGCCTACTTTCACAGTAGTGCTTTAGGCAGCGGTCGCCACTGTGCACTGCAAAAAATCACCCTAATGTATTTGATTCCAATTGTCACCAGAAGGACAAATTGTATATATCTTTATCTGAAATATAATTATCTTAAAATGATATTCGACAATGGAACAAGCAAGTTCCTTTGCCAATTTAATTTGGCCATCATGTGTGTTTTTCACCAAAAACACACATTTGAACTGCAAATATGTCTTGTTGAATTAAAGAAGTGCATATAGTTGCAGCAACTACAGCAGCAACTATAGCAGCGAGATTTTCAGCTTGTGGGACATCAAATCCAATGACGCCTTTTATGATTATGAAGCTTTCCCCGCTATGGGACAAAATAAGGTTTTCTTAAAGTGACATTTTTGAAACAAATGGTCATGATCATTCTATACCTTTAGCCAGATCTTTCATAGGCCATGGTCTTTGAACTATATTTCTATTAAGCAAAATCAGCAAGTATCTCCAAGACCTGGATTAGAGTAGGATCGGACTAAAATCTACTACATTTAAGTAATGACTGGTCTTATTTTTCACTTTCCCGTAATGTTACTTGTAGATGAAGATTAAAACCGTACCAAAACAATGATATTGTTACTTGTGAAGACATGTGTGGTGGGTTTTTTGCAGTGAGCGGGAGAAGCCAAAGGGGTGTGGGGCACGAGGGGAGGGCTCTGAGCTCATAGGAACTGTTGTTTTATCCTCCTCCTGCGGGCTTAGAGGCTGCATCGTGGGGAAGCGCAGTCATTCGCTGCCCACTGGTCCCTGGAAGAGGAGTGTACAGGACAGAGCTAACAGGGTCTTTCTGTTTTCTGTCTGCAGCCATCCGGAGCGCCTGTGGAGAATGACCCTCTCGGCCCGCTACCTCCAGGCTGGGGTGAGTGTTCTTTAGACCCATCTGCACCCATCACCCATCTGCATGTTAACTGCCACTGATACACCAGGATTATTATGGGAGCATTTTACTACTGAATTACCTAATTTTCAAAACTGAAAAGAGGGAATATAAGGATAATGAAATCCATAAAATATGCAGAATTTAAGTCTATGATCAAAAGTTGTGCACCCCAGCTTTAACTATCAAGTCATTGCTTATTCATTCAAATCTACCTATTGATGTGAATAAAATGTTCACACATGTAATGTGTATTTTGTTTTTATTGGGCAGCATTGACCTCAACTGTTTTGCTAGTGTAAGACGCTTGTTGCACTTAATTTCTACTGTAGTAGCATTTTTGTAGTATCATGTATCATCATCATCAAACAGACAGGATACCATGAGGTTTTTTCTATATGCAAATCCTATTTTAAGACGTCCCTAATTCACTCAAATGCTTCGTTTTAATTTTTTTCATCTTTATTGTATGCTGGTACTATAGACACACTATAGACATATACCAGGACTAAAACATGATATTTATGGATCTATATTGTCCTCAAGATATTTTTTTAATAGTTTACTGCGGCTGGGTTCTGTGCACCCCCAGTGCACACGTACCACAGTTTGAGAAGCATTGCTCCAGCCTCATGTTAACATGCTGGTGTCAGTGCTGTGTCTACATGACTGGATCCACTGCGTTGGCCCAGACTCCAGAAGCCCAGAGCAGTAAGGCCAGCTTACACCTCTGTACGAGTGGAATGAAAGGGCCATGTTTGAGAAGCTGTATCTGGACGGGAAGATGGGGGAGGAGAAAGAGCCTCTACGCACAGCTGTTAATGAGAAAAAGATGTGAGCGCTGCAATGGGAGGGGCAGCTGCTCTGAGATGCTTCTACGCTTATCATCACAGGGCTTGTTTAAGACAGAACTTCATCAAGTCACACTTGATGAACTCAAGAAAGCAACTCAAGAAAACTCAACTCAAGAAAAACAATTCAAAAATGCACCCAGAGTCTGGGAAAAATAAATGAGGGTCTGGTATTGGGAAGTGCTGCTGAGAACCCAGATAACTGAAACTAGAAATATAAATCTATCTTTGAAGGAAAGGCAAATATATTCATAAAGCCCTCTTCATGCATAAGCAACCCAGGGTACTTGACAAACACAGAAATAGCATTGGATATTAGAAATATATTTACAATTTAAGGCATGAGTCAATAAGCTCATATCGTGGGGCAGGACCACTCATTTTATTGTACTCTAAAACAGTATTTTTCAACCCTTTTTGAGCCAAGGCACACTTCATTCATTGAAATAATCTCGCAGCACACTACCAGGAGAAAATGTAAAAATATATACCCTTCAGCCTATATTCACAATATGAAGTCATTCTCATCAAAGTTAAATCCAGGCCTTCACATAAAGCTTTGATTAATATTTCTCAATACAATGAGTTAAAAAGAGTTTGGGAATAAAGTAGCACTAACTGTTTAAATAAAACATTTAAAAAATCCACTCAGCCCAAAAAGTCAAATAATGACTGAGAGGGGTCTTAAGTATGCAAAATGATGATAATAAAATTTCCATTTGTGTATTCTGTTTGATTTGTTCACAACATTTTACTTTTGTGCACAAATAACATGCATTGTTTATGCATGGGGAAAATTTAGGTATCCGAGCTTTAAATTCTGGAGATTTGGTTGCGCTTCAGGGGGACACACGGGAGAGACACAGGAAAGACACGGGGGAGACAAGGGAGAAACATGGGAGAAAGTCCTGAGGAAGAGTCCATGGTTCTGTCTGCGCGTCTATGGTTGGCACTCGGTACTTCGTTACGGATGTGCGTTCCCTGAGCTGTTGTCAAAGCGGCTGTTAGTACAACACGGCCACACCTGCCCCGGGGTCAGAGCAGTGAATGTGAATCCTGTTCATAAATAACATAATTCCTTCTCAATCACTTTCACTTCTCACAAGCCACAATGCTCCTGTTACATTTGGTGGTCACGTCCAATTCTTAGATTTCTTGCTACAATGCTCCCGCTACCTGTTACAGCGGGTGGTCAAATTACTTAACTATCTGCTCCCAGCTACTGATAGGAACAAGTATTACATGGTTACTCCACAGTTCAAAACAACAAGACACACCAGACAACATCATATGGCACACTAGTGTCCCGCGGCACAGTGGTTGAAAAACACTGCTCTAAAAGACATATTTTAAAGTTTCTTTTATTACAGAGTTTAGTCCAGTATAGAGAACTGACGTGATATGATCACATATGTTTGTATTTGTGTTGACAGAAAAGCGCCAGGACAATGGCAGAATGTACTTCGTTAATCACAACACTCGCACTACGCAGTGGGACGACCCGCGCACCCAAGGGTGAGTGTGTTCCTACATTCATGTTTTTGCCTGGAAATGGTATCAAACTCTCATTTTCCAGCATATTAGAGTGATATTTGTATTATATCAAAATATAAATATATATTAATAATAATATGCCTGTGATTTAAAATATAAAGGCAAGTAGGCCCACTATAGTAGGCAATTTAGGGGTCCATTTCCAATACAGAACTAGAAGGATAATTAATAGTTGTATGAGACATTACCACAAGCCACACACCTTTCGTCACACAACTGCTCCCTGTGAGCAGTTGTGTTCCAGATGTCACTCATGTGTGCTTGTTGTGTTTGCAGGCTGGTGAAGGAGCATCCTCTTCCTCCAGGATGGGAGACGAAGTACACTCCTGAGGGAGTACGCTATTTTGTGGACCACAACTCGCGCACCACCACATTTAAAGACCCTCGGCCCGGGTTTGAGTCTGGGTAATTCTCTTGCCTGCACCCCCCCCCCCCCCCCACTCCCACCCTCGTGGAAAAGGGAACCAATGTACTTTAGAAAACTTCAGTTAAAAAAGGTGAATAGTTATGTGCCATCATTTCAGTGTGCCTTATCTCTTATCTTATCTTCTGCTGATAAAAGGTAATACTGCATTTTTAGTCAGTTTTGTTTATTTAAACACTTTGAACATGACCAGTCATGTTATGACAGTTGATGTATTTGCTTCTAAAGAATATTATTGTCAGATTCAGATCAGAGTCATTTATTGGCCATGTGCAGTATAAAAACTACATTGGAATACATTTGCAAAAAAAAGGTACTCTGTGTGCACCGACAGAATAAAAAGCACGATACAATGTAATATAAAATACACATACACTGAATATAAAATAATAAAAAAACAGCTGACACTGTGGCACCGATCAACAAAACGATACAAGGGGTAAAAGCAGGAATTAAAGTGCTCTGTTTAGGCACCTAACAGCCTGTGGAAAGAAGCTGTTAGCATAGCGAGATGTCTTGCATCTCAGCGAGCGATATCTTCTGCCAGAGGGAAGAAGCTGGAACATGGCTTTCCCAGGGTGGCCAGAAGAGTTATTGATGATTTTAAGAGCTTTGTTTAAAAGTCTGGATTTGTAAAGAACCTCCAGAACAGGAAGCTCACAGCCCACGGTCCTCTTTGCAGAGCGGAGCACCTTGTTTAAAGCTCTCTTTTCTTTATCTGTGATGTTTCCAAACCACACAGACACAGAACCAACAAGTAAACTCTCAATGGTGCAGCGATAAAAGTTAAGCAGAATCTTAGAGTTAGTGGTAAATTCTCTAAGTTTACGCAAAAAGAAGAGCCGCTGACGTACTTTCTTAACAACCCGGTCAGTGTTTTTAACCCATTTCAGGTCGTTAGACAGAGTTAAACCCAGGAACTTGCACTCCTCTACGATCTGTACCTGGGAGTTGTCAATAACTACAGGAGTGTGAGAACTGCTACGACTGAAGTCAAAACCAAGTTCACATGTTTTTGCGATGTTCAGCTGGAGATTGTTTACTTTACTCCACTGAAAAACATGTTCGATCTCTGCTCTCAGGGGTGCACAATTTATCACAATTGAATCAAATCATAGTGCGCCATCATCTTGTCATCTTTTCAACAACATATAGATCTCTGTTACTAGTACTACCTGTAGTGATGATTGTGTGTGCGTGTGTGCGCAGATCCCGGGAGAGCTGCTCCCCGAGGGCATACGACCGGAGCTTCAGGTGGAAGTATCATCAGTTTCGCTTCTTGTGCTACGTACGTATTGTATTGTATGATGTCACCTCTCAATGATGAGACTGGGCTGTCTCGGGAGTCAAAAGCATGATGAATTTGTGCCATATTAAGACCTTAGATGTAAACAATTATGTTTGAAAAAGTATTTATACCCCAGAACAGCCTGATGAATGGTTATATGTCGACCTAACTATTAGCTCTCAGTGTGATGATAGCTGTTGTGTTCTTGATCAGAATTTATTGGAGACTGAACAGAATCTTGGAAGAAATGCTGTCTCCAAAAGACTTGATGCTGGATGTTCAACTTTTAGTTGACTGGTTTAAAACAAACATGAGATTTGTTTTAAACCAGTCATGTTTTAGAATAGCCTGTTCAAAGTCCAGATATTGATGTTGATACAGATTTGAACTTGAACATGTTTCCTTTGTTGTTCTAAACATAGATCACAGGTTTTGTTCTGTATGATTTTAAATATGTTTTATTGGGAGAAAGTAGGAAGAAAGAAAGTTGATGAATTGAGACATCCATCCATCCATTTTCAATCAATCAATCAATCAACGTTTATTTGTAGAGCGCCTTTCCTACACAAGGCAACGCAAAGCGCTTCACATCCCCTATCACATCATGCATAAATCAAACACATTAAGAGCACAAGATATATTAAAAACATTAAAAATAAAATCACAAAAATTAAAAACCTTTAAACATTAAAATCACAGATGGGACTAAAATCATAAATAGTCACAGTGCATTAAAAAGATTAAAGATAAAAACAAAGATGAAAAGATAAAATCATTCAGTTGTATATGCGCAGCTAAACAGAATTGTTTTGAGCCTAGATTTAAAAGATGCCAGAGTAGACGCCTGTCTCACATTCTCAGGAAGACGGTTCCAGACTCTAGCCGCATGAATCTGAAATGCAGTTTGCCCATGTCTAGTACCGACTCTGGGCACTAACAGGAGTCCAGTCCCTGTGCTCCTCAGAGTCCGGGTCGGTTCATATGGCACAAACATGTCATGGATGTACCTTGGCGCGAGACCATGGAGAGACTTGTACACAAGTAAAGCTGCTTTGAAGTCTATTCTCTGAGGAACAGGAAGCCAGTGCAGAGACCTGAGAACTGGACTAATGTGGTCGCTTCTTCCCCTTAATCCATTTCTGGGTTGGGGGTGCTGGCACTCAGAGGTGCACCCAATTCACATAGCACCAGCCCCTCACTGATCCTCCTGCAGGTGGTGAGTCCACCTGAGGATGGCTGCTCTGTTGATGACAGCACAGCCTTGATATGTCAGCGGGGGCTTCAGGCAAAGTGGGGTTAAGTGTCTTGCCCAAGGACACAACGGCAGCAGACATCAGTGGGAGTCGGTGGAGAAGGTCTTATGGAGAGCTCGAACCCACGACCTTCAGGTTCAAAGCCAATGCTCTAACAACTGAGCCACTGTCGCCCCATGCAACATTATTATTAGTTTATTATTAGTAATTAGGTTAAATACAACCAACATCATATTGGATTCTAGTATTGTACTTTCTTTGTTAAACCTGTGAGTGTGGGTTTCTACTCTTCTCTACACTCTCTCTACATTGCCTTCAGTGAGTCAGAAAGTACTAGAAGTACACATTGACCCAAAATGTGCCATATTTAATTACAATCCATCCATCCATTTTCTTCCCCTTAATCCATTTCTGGGTCGGGGGGTGGCAGTCAGAGCTGCACCCAGTACACATAGCAACGACAGCAGACAATAATGGGAGTTGTGAAGTAGGTCTGGTGGTGGGCTTGAACCCACGACCTTCAGGCCCAAAGGCCAATGCTTTACTAACTGAGCCACTGTCACCCTTATTTAATCACAAAACATTTGATAATAATGATTCCCAGGTAATTATAACTTGTTAGTGGAATACTGATTATGCTATCAAAGTAATAAACAATGATGTATGTGTCCAGTCCAATGCACTGCCGAGCCATGTGAAGATCTCAGTGTCGCGACAGACGCTGTTTGAGGATTCCTTTCAACAGGTGAGCAGTGAGCCTCACACTGTGCGTGTGTGTGTGAGATCATGAACATGAAGCCGCTCACTGTGTGGATCATGAAAGTGAAGCCACTGACTGTGTGTGTTAGATCAGGAAGGTGAAGTAGCTGACTCTGTGTATGTGTGTGTGTTAGATCATGAACGTGAAGCCGTACGACCTCCGCAGACGACTCTACATCATCATGCGGGGGGAGGAGGGGCTGGACTACGGGGGCATCGCCAGGTCAGTGTGTGCGATGTGCCACACCAGGGGCTGGAGAGAACTTCCACGTCTACAATCATGTCATGGGGTCTTGCAGCCTCTTGAGTCCTCTGAGACAGATGCTAATAAAAACAAATTAAATGAAGAAAGGCAGATGAGCTTGACGCATTTCAGTCAGACTGGCAACAGTTCCTGAGATGCCCTACACCTCTTATTCACTTAAACCAAATTTTACCGAAAATAAAAGCTCTGCTAGACATCACTAATCAGGGTTTCTGCCAGAACATAATTTGTGGGGCGAGCGGCAGCAATTCTTTTTATTACAACCTCAATGCCACTCATTTCAAGCAATGTTTTCACGGAATCAAATCAACAATTTTCTATGTTCATCTGCTGCATATGCCGCTCTAATTTTCATGTGGGAATTGTTTTACATGTTTTATTGTTTATTTTTTACAAGTTAAAAAAATAGGCTTTTAAACAAATATGATGAGGGACTTCCTAGGGCTATTGACAGGGGGAAATTGATCCTCCCCTTACCTCCTGCCGGAGACCAAGCTAATGAAGCGTATGTTAAGTCAAACTATATTGGTGGCAATGAAAGCTGCCAACCAATGCTCGTCCATGGGAAGATGGCTTCTTGACGCAGCCTTGTTCTTTCATCAGGGGCTTCAGGCAACATGGGGTTAAGTGTCTTGCCCAAAGACACAACGACAGCAGGCGGCCTTTGTGGGAGCAGTTGGAGTAGGTCCCATTGTGGGCTCAAACCCACGACTTTCACGCCCAAAGGCCAATGCTCTACCAACTGAGCTACTGTTGCCCCCGACTATATATGAAACATTTGATTTGTTTATATCAAACATATACAGTACATGGCATGAAAACATGCACTTGAAAAGGATTTTTAAAAGTATTAAAGAGGAAAAGGTGAGAGAAGCCCTATCAGTGAGTGTGGGTTGTGGAGTAGGCCTGCACACCTGCTCTCTCCAGTGCCCTGTGTGTGTATGTTTCTGTACCGTGCATTGCAGAAGTGATTTTGTTAGGTGCCACTACAAACTCATTCCGTCTCGTCCATAAAGGCTAGATCTGTTTAGGGTATGACTAATGTTTGCCCGGAGTGAGCTATGTGTGTCTGCAGTATTTCAGTTAGAAATCAAAAATATTTCTTTGTGGTTGTAACACGACAACATTTGCAAAACTTCAAGATGTATTGTCACTTTCGCAAAGCACTGTGTGTGTGTGTGTGTTCTGTGTATGTATGCTAATGTATATGTTTGTGTGTGTGCATGCTTATGTACACGTTGGTATGTGGTTTTGATTGCTCGCTCTCCTCGCTTTCCTCCATGTGTCTCTGTCCCCAGTGTCCCATCAGTGGTTTTACCCTATGGTAGGTGACCTCATGCTGTTCTACCACAGGGTAGAACCACGGACAGGCCGCGGGGGGTGTCTGCGTGATGGCCGTGTCTGTCCACACTCCACGTCATATTTGTATCCATTCATGTGTCCATCATTCACATTCTGCTCATCATGTCATTGTGTCTGTGGGGACCTCTAAATAAATGATCTTATTTGGTACTTTGTTCATTGTTTTTCCAAGAGATGTTTTTTTTTTTTTTTTTTTTTTTTTAACAAATGTGTACTTAAAACAAAAAAAAAAATCTATAATAGGACATGTTTTGTAATTGGCAGTAAATTTGAAAAGATAGCGGTGGAACTTGATTTGTATGGCACTAAAGTAGATCTGGCTATTCACAGAACTTCTAATGAGCCAAGTCTTTCAAATGCTTTTCTAATGATTATTCGAATCTGGTCATGTCCTTAAGTAAATTTAAAATATAGTTGCACAAATATGCATTATTTATTCTTAACACGAATGGTTTGAGTAATAAATATGGTAGAATTAAAGTAATTGTTTGAAATAGGTACTATCCATTTTAGGATTAAATTTAGATATGGTTGGGTATTTGGTAGAATTATTTCTTTGTTACGTACCCACTTTTGCATTATTTTATATTTTTGTTTAGTAAACTTTGTTTCCCACTTATTTAGAAGATACTCTTTGGTGGCACAAATCATTTTCATTAGAATTCTTCAGTGAACTATAAAGTTGCTAACCTTGAAGCAGTCCTTTTGGACCAGACACTAGCAATAAAACATAATGTGTAATGTGTCACTGTTATGCCATAGTATTGTGTGACCATCAGAGTTATCATCACTGAGCACAAGGCTACATTCACACAAACTCTGCTTGAACTCTAAACTGACTGATCTCAGTCTCCTGGAATGTCACTTACTCGTGTGAAGAATATCAGAAGCAGAAACAAACAAAGTTTGACTGCCTGTGGACCAGATTATTTCTTTTTTGTGGAATTAGGCATGCATAACAAATACTAAATATACATTATTCATATAATTAAACATACCATCAAAAAGTATTTTTATACAATTAGAACAACAAAACATTGCAAGACTAAACGTTCAGGAAGCGACACCAGGGTTTAGAATATCTGCATCAAATCACCAAATCTATTTTTTTAACTCATAAACTGCATATATATGTTTCTTATGGTGCTCTCCACATGTTATTTGACATTTTAGTGCAAAAAAGAGGAAATCTCACTTTTGAGCCTACAACTGCCCTCTCTACATTTTTGGTGGCACTACATTGGTATTAGGTGCCTGGCCTCTTCATTGGCTCTGGTGTGCAAAGTGACGTTTCTTTGTGCAGCGTGACGTCCGTCTCTGTGCCAGCAAAGACAACTGTCTGATTTTGTTTATGTGGGCTGTGATTGACAAGTGAGGTGTCAATTACAGCCCAGACCACGCCCAACTCTAAGCCCTCATCTTGTCCCTTGGTGCTCCGGGCAATGCCCTTTTTATAGAGAATTTTCAAATGTTCATGTGGGCGGAGCAAGGCTGGGTACTGGCATTTAGTTTTCCTTTCAATCCTTCGGTTTTCTATAAATCCACACTTTAATGCAACAAACTCTGCTTGATTATCTCCCGCTCTAACTTTGCTCTGATCAGCAGCGTCTGATTGGTCAGGACCCGCCGTGCCCCTCTGTGCATGTATATGGCTGCGGTCACATGCGCAGCCTAAAGGCCGGTTTAAGTGGGCCAGTGCCCACTTCGCGATTTGAGCCGGGCTTTAGGTCCCATGTGACTGCGGCATGTGGGCTCGAGCCCGGTTCAAGACTTGGGCCAGAGCACACTTCGCAGTGCCGATGAGGGGCGTCAGTGTGGCGGGTGGTGGGGAGTGGGGGATGAGGTGTGGTGGGGGCTTGATTTTGTGCGTCACATTACGTCTTCCGTTGTGAGGGGCATTTTCACACATTCTCCTGCACTTTCGCATTCTCCGCTTGTGTTAAACCTTTCAAATAAGCCCCGGACCGTGGTCCGGGGCTTTCATACTCATTCATTCATTTCCCAGCGCACTTACGCTCGTTATTAAAGAGTGTGTGTGTGTGTGTGTGCGCACACACGCGTACACGCACACACGTTACCCACTGAACTGCTGCACTTTGCATCAGAGCAATGTGTCTTTCCCTAAACAATGAGATCCGTAGTGAGCTCTGAGAAATGGAAACTCAACCAGGACAACAAAGTTGACGCTGGAGTTAGTATTAGCGCCACCATCTGGGCCGAGTGTTGTACTACAGCTTAGTTACTCTGGCACGTTTGCGAATACACGTTCATGTGACTGCGGACCGTTTTCACACCCCTGTGGCGACGATCCGGCCCACTTGGCCCAGTTTGTTTGTAAAAACATATGTGACCGTGCCCTAAGAGAGTATTTGGCGCAAAGCATCATGGGAACTTGTCTGCTGCGCAGAACCGGGAGGACAAAGCGAGGTCCAAATATTGGCAAGTTTTGCTAATCTTTCGGCGTCCATGGTGTCACATGCGCTACTGAGCACAAGCCATTGATTTGAATAGGACTCCATCTTGAATCACCTGTGCTTGGTGTACACAGACTTTAGTGTGGGTCTCCCCCATGGATCTATTATAATAACTGGATAGTGCAGACTAATTTCACTTGGGCTACCCAGAAAAATGTCCCATAGAACTCGATGTAATCTAAAACTTCAGCCTTCAATTATATCAAGTGATCGTCCTATTTCAAAAATCCCCTTTGTTTCAAAGATTGTAGAAAAAAGCTTAATTTCTCAGTTGCAAACTTTTTTAAATGAAAATTGCACTTTAGACCCTTTCCAGTCAGGGTACAAAGCTTTGCACAGAGTCTGCATTTTTTAAAGGTTTTCAACGACCTGTTTTTATTGGCAGATTCTGGAAATTCTGATGTTTTAGTGCTTTTAGACTTGATTGTTGCGACATTGTGGACCATGCAACTCTTTTAAATCGTCTTAAATACTGTGTGGGTGTCAGGGAGACTGCCCTGGACTGCTTTTGGTCATACTTGTCAGGGCGGTCTTTTACTGTCCACCTCCACCTCTGCCCCTTTGCACTGTGGAGTTCCCCAGGGATCGATTCTTGGCCCTTTGCTTTTTGCCCTGTACCTCCTCCCACTTAGTGACATTTAAAAAAAAAAAAAAAAAACTTTTGTATAGCCCTAAATCACAACAAAAGTAATCTCAGAGGACTTAACAAATTGAAATCACCAACACAGATCAGAGAATCAACAGTACAAAATATAAACATATGTATTGGTCCATAGGGAGAGACCAATGACCCTGAATGTTGATAAATGTCATGCATGTTAATAAATGTCAAATGTCATGTTGTAGAATGTTAAAGTGTCCTGTATAATCACCACAGTCCTTCTAGTTGGACACTAACTTCCCAACAGACCCTCCTGCATCGGCAAGGAAAAACTCACAAAAACCCAGGGGGGGAAAGTGAGCTTCTACACAGACGGACGGGCTAATGAACCAGGTCCTAAGCTACAGAACTGAAGCGCTCCCAGGCGGGTTGGGCAGGAAAACATGGCATGTCTTATCATTTTTATGCTGACGATTGTCAGATTTACATGCCATTGATGAAAAAAACACCCCTACTCAACTGTCTAGTGATGTTGGCCCAAAACTTTCTTAAACTAAATGAAATGAAAGACGGAGGTCATTTTATTTGGTCCTAGCGCCCCCCTCATTGACCCCCCTTGACCCCCTTTAAAGGCCTTTAAAAGACCGTGTGCGCTCCACTGTCACCAACCTTGGAGTCATCTTAGACAGTGATTTTAAACTTGATAAGCAGATTAATCGTGTTTTAAAATCAAGTTTTTATCATTTGCGACTTTTATCTAAAGTTCAAACTTTTTTATCTTTCAATCTTTTTGAGCAGGTCATGCACGCTTTTATTTTTTCAATGGACTATTGCAATGCACTTTTTGCGGGCATCCCCCAAAACGCACTTTCCCGTCTGCAGTTGGTCCAAAACTCAGCGGCACGACTTTTAACAGGAAGCAGGTGGCGCAATCACTTTACACCAATTCTTTGGAAACTGAGTTTATGAAATGTGCTATATAAATAAAGTTGATTGGATTGGATGAAACAGCTCACCCTCAGCTGACAGAGAATCTACAGCTTTCATAAAGGTGGGATTTTGTGGGGATGTGTTCCTTGTCATCCTGAACTTTTTTCTTGTTAATTCCGTCGGTTTTCTATAAATCTTTGCACTTTAGCTTCGCTCTGATCAGCAGCGCCTGATTTAAGTGCTACCATGAGAGAGCCACACACGTGTGCTCGTTAGTTTTTCTGCAAAGGAGCTTGTCCACTGCGTCGAACCGAGAGGACTAGAGCCATGACTACAGTGCCTTGCGAAAGTATTCGGCCCCCTTGAACCTTTCAACATTTCGCCACATTTCAGGCTTCAAACATAAAGATATAAACATTTAAATTTTTGTCAAGAATCAACAAGTAGGACACAATTGTGAAGTGGAACCAAATGTATTGGATAGTTTAAACTTTTTTAACAAATAAAAAACTGAAAAGTGGGGCGTGCAATATTATTCGGCCCCCTTGCGCCAATACTTTGTAGCGCCACCTTTTGCTGCAGTTACAGCTGCAAGTCGCTTGGGGTATGTCTCTATCAGTTTTGCACATCGAGAGACTGGACTTCTTGCCCATTCTTCCTTGCAAAACAGCTCGAGCTCAGTGAGGTTGGATGGAGAGCGTTTGTGAACAGCAGTCTTCAGCTCTTTCCACAGATTCTTGATTGGAATCAGGTCTGGACTTTGACTTGGCCATTCTAACACCTGGATACGTCTATTTGTGGACCATTCCATTGTAGATTTGGCTTTATGTTTTGGATCATTGTCCTGTTGGAAGATAAATCTCCGTCCCAGTCTCAGGTCTTTTGCAGACTCCAACAGGTTTTCTTCCAGAATGGTCCTGTATTTGGCTCCATCCATCTTCCCATCAATTTTAGCCATCTTCCCTGTCCCTGCTGAAGAAAAGCAGGCCCAAACCATGATGCTGCCACCACCATGTTTGACAGTGGGGATGGTGTGTTCAGGGTGATGAGCTGTGTTGCTTTTACGCCAAACATATCGTTTTGCATTGTGGCCAAAAAGTTCAATTTTGGTTTCATCTGACCAGAGCACCTTCTTCCACATGTTTGGTGTGTCTCCCAGGTGGCTTGTGGCAAACTTTAAACAAGACTTTTTATGGATATCTTTGAGAAATGGCTTTCTTCTTGCCACTCTTCCATAAAGGCCAGATTTGTGCAGTGCACGACTGATTGTTGTCCTATGGACAGACTCTCTCACCTCAGCTGTAGTTATCTGCAGTTCATCCAGAGTGATCATGGGCCTCTTGGCTGCATCTCTGATCAGTCTTCTCCTTGTTTGAGATGAAAGTTTGGAGGGACGGCCGGGTCTTGGTAGATTTACAGTGGTCTGATACTCATTCCATTTCAACATAATTGCTTGCACTGTGCTCCTTGAGATGTTCAAAGCTTGGGAAATCTTTTTGTATCCAAATCCGGCTTTAAACTTCTCCACAACAGTATCTCGGACCTGCCTGGTGTGTTCCTTTGTCTTCATGGTTCTCTCTGCGCTTTAAACAGAACCCTGAGACTATCAAAGAGCAGGTGCATTTATACGGAGACTTGATTACACACAGGTGCATTCTATTTATCATCATCAGTCATTTAGGACAACATTGGATCATTCAAAGATCCTCACTGAACTTCTGGAGTGAGTTTGCTGCACTGAAAGTAAAGGGGCCGAATAATATTGCACGCCCCACTTTTCAGTTTTTCATTTGTTAAAAAAGTTTAAATCATCCAATAAATTTCGTTCCACTTCACGATTGTGTCCCACTGACAAAAAATTTAAATTTTATATCTTTATGTTTGAAGCCTGAAATGTGGCGAAATGTTGAAAGGTTCAATACTTGCGTATTTACACTGCATATTTACAGTGCCTTGCGAATACTTTCGCAAGGCACTGTAAATATGCGAGTTTCGCCATTCTTTCGGTTCCCATGGTGGTCCCATGTGCCACCGAGCACAAGCAATTTTTGAATAGGCCGTCATCTTGGATCACGGGGGCTTAGTCAAGACCCGTGGGGCTGGCGTACACTGACCTCAAAGCTTCAGGTGTGCTGAAGCTTTCCGCGTAGGATCTGTTTTTCCCGGTCTCTGCAGTGATCTACTCCTCGCTCCTGTTGTTACTACAAACCGTGGGAACTGTAAGCATGGTGCACAGCACAAACTCATCCAGTTCAATTCATTCAATTCAAATAACTTTTTATCCGTTTGGAACTTCATCTTGAATCTGGAGTGTTAGTACAGTAGATTCAATGGTTATAGCAATGTTTTAAATGTGCTGTGAAAAATTAGAATAATCATTGATATGAAGTGACATGCTGCTTCCGTTTGTGACTGCATGTGTGTTGTGTCCAGGGAGTGGTTCTTCCTGCTGTCCCACGAAGTCCTCAACCCCATGTACTGTCTTTTTGAGTACGCGGGAAAGAACAACTACTGCCTGCAGATAAACCCAGCCTCCTCCATCAATCCGGACCACCTCACTTACTTCCGTTTTATCGGCCGCTTCATTGCCATGGTGAGCTGAGACACATAATCTATCATCATTGGGTATGGCCCCATCTGGTTCCAAATGCTGTTTATTTGAACTTTGTGAATAGCAGGAGCTGTAAATGCTTTGTTGCTCATTTTCATCTGTAACTTACTCCATCCTCACCTATTGAACACGTTATTAGAAGTAGGGGACAATTGAGTACTCGGGGGAAACGATAGTTCTGATTAATGATGGGGATTTCATGAGCGCTCGATCTTTGGAAGTGCACCTGAGCGGGATGTGAGGGTGTCCAATGGTTTGCATTTGTGTTTCTCAGCAAGAAGGTCCCGGGTTCGACCTTCAGACTGTGCCTTTCAGTGTTGAGTTTGCTATGTCTTATATTGATAAAGTACAGCTTTTACTTGGAGGCATCTGAAGTGCGGGGCTTGATCCAGCTGCACACCAGGAGACGAGATTTGATCTCATGCACTCAATATCAATAAATCAATCAATAAAGTATATCTATCCTATCACTCAACTTCAAATTTACTATATATGTGATGTCATAAGGACTGGTTAATGTGCCCAAGTAACTAGCATTTCTAGCAGTTATTTAGAGTAACAATGGTTAAATGCAAATTATTTCATAAATCATTCGGTTTTGCATGTACATCAACATACATTGTAGATATTAAGAATCCTCAATATATTTAGAAATAAATATATGTTTTGCAATTTTTTAGTTGGTAAATCATTTTGACTTGATCATTTTATAAGTATGAATCAACAACAAGTGGGACACAATTGTGAAGTGGAACGAAATGTATTGGATAAATTTCGTTCTGCTGCTGTAGTTATCTGCAGTTCATCCAGAGGGATCATGGGCCTCTTGCTTGCATCTCTGATCAGTCTTCTCCTTGTTTGAGATGAAAGTTTGGAGGGACGGCCGGGTCTTGGTAGATTTGCAGTGGTCTGATACTCCTTTCATTTCAATATAATTGCTTGCACAGTGCTCCTTGAGATGTTTAAAGCTTGGGAAATCTTTTTGTATCCAAATCCGACTTTAAACTTCTCCACAACAGTATCTCGGACCTGCCTGGTGTGTTCCTTTGTCTTCATGTTCTCTCTGCGCTTTAAACAGAACCCTGAGACTCTCAAAGAGCAGGTGCATTTATACGGAGACTTGATTACACACAGGTGCATTCTATTTATCATCATCAGTCATTTAGGACAACATTGGATGATTCAAAGATCCTCACTGAACTTCTGGTGTGAGTTTGCTGCACTGAGAGTAAAGGGGCCGAATAATATTGCACGGACCACTTTTCAGTTTTTTATTTGTTAAAGTTTAAATTATCCAATAAATTTCGTTCGACTTCACGATTGTGTCCCACTTGTTGTTGATTCATGACAAAAAATTAAAATTTTATATCGTTATGTTTGAAGCCTGAAATGTGGCGAAATGTTGAAAGGTTCAAGGGGGCCAAATACTTTCGCAAGGCACTGTATAAGCTTTTGTACTCACTTTGAGTGCAGTGGATTTTGGGCTTAAGAAGTGTATGTTGTGTTCAGTGTGTGTGGAGGCGATGACAGAAACGTTATTTGATGGAAAGAAGTCTGTCTAGCCATATTCTTTTACATATATATTGCGTTAGCAGTGCGTTGCTTCAGTACCATTTCATCAGTGATTGTTGTACAGCTTACGAAGTTGCGCTAATGCTAATGTTAGCATGCTAATGTTGGCATACATTTCAGATCGCAAGTCTGTGAGCGAGTTTGGGGGCGGTGCTAACCATTCAAACCTTGCAGAAACGGGTATAGCGCCTTTAATTAGGACTTAATAAAATAAACTTATGGCGCAGCTAAGTGAACACATACTGCTGTTATAGGAAGTCCCTGGAAGGTCTCTGTACACAGAGACGCTGTAGAGCTGCATTCTTGGAGAAGAACTTTACACAAAAAGCCGCTAGCTTAACTGCGTTAGCATCAAAGCCCGCCCCGACAATTCCGCAGTGCGCAAAAGCAGGGCAGCACTTCTTTCTGTGTCTGAAATTTTGTGAATGCGCGTCTAGTGCGCATGGAAGTTGTATTCAAGCGTCGGCGGTCTGAACGCCTCATTACCCCTACTGAAATTGTTCAAGTAACAATCTGACCAGAACCTCTCAAATGTACATAAGTTGTATGATTAATGATGGTTTTTTACGTTCCAGTTGTATATTAGTGTAGCATTAGCTTCCAGACTCACTCATGTTTGCTCCTTAGGCGCTGTACCATGGGAAGTTCATAGACACAGGCTTCACATTGCCTTTCTACAAACGAATGTTGGACAAAAAACCCACCCTGAAAGACCTGGAGTCCATCGATCCAGAGTTCTATAACTCCATTATGTGGGTCAAGTAAGTGCCAACTATAAACTTATAATGAACTTTTGTTTTTTCATGGCCCATGACTGGTCAATGTTCAAGTTCTTTCTATGAAATGTGTTCGATATTTTAAGTCTATAACATATTCTAGCTGACTAAATCAGTGTAGTTAACAGTTAAACAAATCTTTTAGACTGAAAGGATAAATAAAAGTCTACAATTCACTTTGGCATACATTTTAATTGCTAATATGTAACAGTGTTTAAGATAAGATAAATGACTAAAAAACATTACTTTATATAGTGGGGAAAAAAGTTTACTCTAATTGTGCAAGTTATTTGGTCACCTACAAACAAGCAAGATTTCTTGCTCTCACAGACCTGTAACTCCTCCAAGAGGCTCTTTGTTACTTGTATTAATGGGACCTAATTGAACTCGTTATCTGTATGAAAGACACCTGTCCACAACCTCAAACTCCACTATGGCCAAGACCAAAGAGTTGTCACCCTTAAAGACACCAGAAACAAAATTGTAGACCTGCACCAGACTGGGAAGACTGAATCCGCAAAAGGTAAGCTGCTTGGTGTGAAGAAATTACTCAGAGACCACTGATCTCTCTCGATCTGGGGCTCAACACAAGATCTCACCTCGTGGGGTCAAAATGATCACAAGAGCAATGAGCAAAAATTCCGGAACCACACGGGGGGACCAAATGAATGACCTGCAGAGAGCTGGGGCTAAAGTAACAAAGCCTGTTTAAGCCAGTGCATGTCCAGGCCCGTCTGAAGTTTGCTAGAGACCATTTGGATGATCCAGAAGAGGATTGGGAGGATGTCGCATAGTGTCATATGGTCAGATGAAACCAAAATAGAAACTTTTTGGTAAAACTCAACTCGTCGTGTTTGGAGGAGAAAGAATGCTGAGTTGCATTCAACGAACACCAGACCTACTGTGAAGTATGGGGGTGGAAGCATGCTTTGGGGCTGTTTTTCTCTAAAAAGGGACGAGGATGACCAGCGTAAAGGGCGACGGTGACCTCACTTTCAATGTGACATTTTGAATGAAAACCACCTTCCATCAGCAAGGGCATTGAAGACGAAACGTGGCTGGATCTTTCAGCTTGACAATGATCCCTAACACACCGTCCGGTCAACAAAGGAGTGGCTTTGTATGAAGCATTTCAAGTTCCTGGAGTGGCCTAGCCATTCTCCAGATCTTAACCCAATAGAAAATCTTTGGAACAGCCCCAAAACATCACTGCTCTAGTGGAGATCTGCATGGAGGAATGGGCGAAAACCAAAAAGCTGAGGCAAGGGGCTATATCCTCACTGCATGGACCATCGACTACCTCTCGGACCGGCCACAGTACGTGCAGCTGTGAGTCTGAGGTGGTAGTCTGCAGTACTAGGGCCCCTCAGGGCACTGTCCTCTCACCGTTTCTCTTCACCATCTCCACTTTGGACTTCACACACACAGCTGCCAACTTCAGAAGTTCTCGAATGACTCTGCCATTGTGAACAGTGTGTGTGAGGGGAACGAACTGGAATACTGGTCGGTTATCATGAGCTTTGTCGACTGTGTGAGCGCAACCACGTGTGCTTGAACACCAGTAAGACCAAGGAGATGACAATCAACTTCAGGAGAAAAAAAACACTATCCCACACGCTGCTGAACATCCAGGGGGAGGACATTGAGCTGGTGGACAGCTTCAAGTATCTGGGTGTTCACATTAACAATAAACTGGACTGTCCCACAACACCAACGCGTGTGCTGGGCCCCGGGCAGCACAGAGCGGGACTGAACATGGTGGTCAGCAGGGCCAGCTCCACTCTGGGCTGCTCCATGGACTCTGTGGAGGAGGTGAAGGACAGGAGGGTGCTAGTCAAAGTCATGGGCAACACCTCCCACCCACTGCACAGGACTGTAGAGAGGAGCTCCTATAGTGGTAGACTGTGGCACCCTCAGTGCAAGAAGGAGCGTTACAGCAGGGCCTTTATCCCCACCGCTGTCAGACTGTACCATAAGTCACTTTAAGTGGTGACCTGCACTAAGAGTGAAGAATCAGCACTGCTATTGCCACTTTTTTATTGTACATAATACCTGCACATACTATATTTTTAACCTTATCATGTTGCACATCTGTCTTTTTGCACAATCTGAATGATTCTATCCATGCCAAATGTAACATGTACATTTCTCCATTGTGAGATCAATAAAGTTTGATCTTATCTTATGTTTTACTTTTGTATAACATGTAGAGAACCTGAGATAAACAGTTAGACATGTTCTCCTACAATATTTTATCTCTTAGTAGTCATCTCTTACTGCATTTTTCACATGTTGTACATCAGGAACTGTAAATACATGTGCTGACCTCAGGGAGAACAGTTTGGAGGAGTGCGGCCTGGAACTCTACTTTGCACAGGACATGGAAATCTTGGGGAAGGTGTCTACGCACCAACTCAAGGCAGACGGGGAGAACATGCTGGTCACTGACAACAACAAGGAGGAGTACATAGGGTAAGCTGTGGTCACCATAGCTCTAAGCTCTGTGAGCTCCATGCTCTGTGTACTCAGAGTAAGCTGTGGTCAGCGGAACTCTGCTCTGTGTGTGTGCTTGCGTGCATGTTCAGGCTGATCCGTGATTGTGTGTGTTCAGGCTGATCCGTGATTGTGCGTGTTCAGGCTAATCAGTGATTGTGTGTGTTCAGGCTAATCAGTGATTGTGTGTGTTCTGGCTGATCAGTGATTGTGTGTGTTCAGGCTGATCAGTGATTGTGTGTGTTCAGGCTGATCAGTGATTGTGTGTGTTCAGGCTGATCAGTGATTGTGCATGTTCAGGCTGATCCATAATTGTGCGTGTTCAGGCTGATCTGTGTGTGTGTTCTTCAGGCTGCTCAGTGTGTGTGTTCTTCAGACTTCTCAGTGTGTGTTTGTTCCTCAGGCTGCTCAGTGATTGGCGGTTTACTCGTGGCGTGGAGGAGCAGACCAAAGCATTCCTGGATGGCTTTAATGAAGTAGTTCCCCTGGAATGGCTACGATACTTTGACGAGAAGGAGCTGGAGGTATTGTGTGAATATCTATAGAGAGGTTTCTAGATAGATTTTTTCTTCATCATGTTACCACTTTGTTCCTTGTTTTGTTCTGTTCTTTAAAACAATTTAAAGATTTGACAGAAATCCAACAAGGATGTTCCAGATTTGAGTGTTGATGGAGCTAAACACAGCTTTAAGTCTGTTTTTAAAAAGGAATCTGTTGGAACATAGTGAAACTTGTTTATCCTTTAAGGAGTACTAGAATTTACCATGCTGCTATCCAGAATATATAAATACAATGTTTATAATATTTCAGGTGTTCATTTTGACATGTTAAGAAGAATTATGTTAAAAAACGGCTTTGAAGTCGCATTTTTTCACTTCCGCATAGAAATGCTAAGGGGCGCCAAAATTGCAGCAATGACGTAGGTGAATGATCCTTCACAGCCGTCATGGCTGGAATCTGTAGGAGCAGCGACTTAATTGATGTTGAATCTGGGGAAGAATCTGAGGTTTCACAGTCATCTGAACAAGGTATAAACTTATTTTCATCAGTTTTGTACATAGTTGTGTGCGTCTCTTTTAACCTTTTAGCCTTATGTGTGGGATTCAAGCTAATTACTTGGCCTAACGGTCCCCAGTGTTGGGCAAGTTAGCTACTTGAAATCAAGATATCCTAAAACATGCTTACAAGGTTAATATTCATTTTTACATTATGACAGTCTATCTTTGGTTGCCTTTGATTTATTTATCACAATGTACATTGTAATATCCAAAAATGCTAATCAAAATAACTTGAATTAAATAAATGTTTCACTTTTATGAACATACTATATGAACAAAAAGCTGCTGAAGTTGAAGCATAGAAACAAGAGCTAACATGATACATGTGATGCAATCATTGAAAAAAATGTTAATTAAACCGTTAATAGGTGTTAGCATTTATGGATATTACAATGTACATTGTGGTAAAGAAATCAAAGGCAACTCAAAGTAAGACTGGCATAATGTAAAAATTAATCTTAACCTTGTTAGCATGCTTTAGGATATCTTTATTTCAAGAAGCTAACTTGCCCAACACTGGGGACCGCTGGGACACACTGCTTCAATCTGAGCCGAATGTAAAAATCTGGCCAAAAACAATTTTTTTTTCTAGTCCTCTCCCATTCTCCCTGACTCAGGTTGCCAGATATGCACCAAATCCAGCAGCAAACACAAGGAATTATTTTATCAGTTGTTTGTCTGTCTCCATTCACATTGCCATGATAGACGTGCTAATGTTGATTGAATGTTTTGAATGAATGTTTTTTTATTTGGACATTTGAGATGAGAAAAACAAAATAAAAGCAATTTTAATTATGCATAGATTTTGCAAAATAAATAAGCAATTGATTTCCAAAATAGGAGTGAGAAGAATGGATGTTGAAACATATTTTTTCAGCGGATCAACATCAGGGTTTCCTCCAGAGCATATACCCTTCAATTTAATGTATTCCCTAGTTTTTAGACATACATGTCTAAAACAGCCCATTATTCTTTTTCCAAATAAGCTTTAATCTGCAAAAAAAGTCTTGATTATTCTCTTTTACCTGATTTTGAGCAATCTGTCATAAAATGTAACCTTATGCAAGTAGACACAACCCGGATTCAAACCCGGGTTGCTGGAGTGTAAGCTCTATGACTTAACCATTAGGCCACCATCAGTCACGTCAGACTGTGTGTGGGGAAACGGGGTCAATTCAGCAAGTTTTGCATCACACAAAACTTTTATCCGCTGTCTCCATTTTTCAAAGGCGTCCCGAAATAAATCCTTGTTTTAGTCTTTGTTTTGTCATTAATGATTTGAGAGTCATAATAGGACTCCCACTGATGACTGCTGTCGTTGTGTCCTTGGGCAAGACACTTAACCCCACTTTGCCCAAAAGCCCCCACTGAAAGATCAAGGCTATGCTCACACTCAAAGAGCAGCCGTCCTCCTGTGGACTCACCACCTGCAGAGGATCAGTGAGGGGCTGGTGCTATGAGACTTTGGTGGCATCTCTGATTGCCACCCCCCTGACCCAGAAATGGATTAAAGGGCAGAAAATGGATGGATGGATGGAGTCATAATAGGACCTTTTCTAGTTCTGCCGCCACATGTTATTTTACCACTGAGATTAGCCGCGAGGAGTTCTGGCAACCCGATCACTCACTTCCTGATTGGCGAAACAGCGGAGGGTAGGACATCTAAATGAAAACGATAACAACTTTTACGGGTCGCAAAACTAATTTTGATATTCAAATATTTTGGCTGAACTACTGTTATCAGTTAAAGATGTATTCAAAAAGAGCATGATTTAATAACACCTTTTGAAATATGGGGGCCATTTAATGATGACTTGATATGCAAAAATTACATACTGCTACTTTAAGGCTAAAAGGTTAAAACAGTTGCATACTATTATGTACAAAACTGATGAAAATATGTTTGTATCTTGTTCAGATGACTGTGAAACCTCAGATTCTTCCCCAGATTCAACATCAATTAACTCACTGCTACTACAGATTCCAGCCATGGCGGCTGTGAAGGATCATTCACCAATCCCCGGCGATCCAAGATGGCCGTATTCAAATGAAAGGTTGTGCTCAGTGGCGCTTTGTGCCGGCATGGGTGCCGGAAAGATTAGCGGAAGTTGCCTGCAACTCTCAAAGATCCATGGGAAACTTGCCTGTATTTGGGCATCGTCTGATCCTCCCGGTTCTGCGCAATGGATTTTAGTCTTGTTTAGTCTGCAGTACCGCGAGAATCCCCCGAGCACATGAGTTCTTCAGCTACAAGCTAGTAATACCCTATCCAGTTATTATAATAGATTCATGTTATTCACCTACGTCATCGTTGCAATTTTGGCGCCTCCTAGCGTTTCTATGCGGAAGTGAAAAAGTGCGACTTCAAAGCCGTTTTTTTAACATAATTCATCTTAACATGTCAAAATGAACACCTGAAATATTATAAACACATATTGCTGTTATATTTTCTGGATAGCAGCATGGTAAATTATATTATTACTTTAAACATTTGGACCTTGTTCTAAAAAAAATCTTCAAGTATTTTGCCAGGGCATTAATATTCAGGATTTATTGCAGATCCTTAAGTACTAGGGGCAGACAACATGGATTGTAAAACTGTTGTGACTGGCTTCAGGCTTTACAAGCTACAGCTCAGAGCTTTACAGAGCTGAAGTTGGCTGGATGACACCGTGATCTGGTGTTCATGATCTCAAAGGCAACTTTGTGTTAGTGGCCGGGGGCCACTTAAAAGGACAGTGTGTGAGTGTGTTCCTGTGTGTGCAGTTGATGCTGTGTGGAATGCAGGAGATCGACCTGACAGACTGGCAGAAGAACACCATCTACAGACATTACACCAAGAACAGCAAACAGATTCACTGGTTCTGGCAGGTACGCTCCAGAGCCTTTCTCATGACAGCTCACTGTCCGTCACCAGAGAGGTTTATGTGTGTGTGTGTGTGTGCGTGCGTGTGTGTAGGTGGTCAAAGACATGGACAACGAGAAGAGAATTCGTCTGCTTCAGTTTGTCACTGGCACGTGTCGGCTGCCGGTTGGAGGCTTTGCGGAGCTCATAGGTAAAGTCCTGTTGTATGACTGCATTAAAGTCCTCTCCCCAGTGAAGTCTTTGGTAAGGACTATCCATGTAGTGCCCTAAGCCCCTCGCATGTTTAATATAAAGATAAAGGTAACGTTTCATTTGCTGCAGGGAGCAATGGTCCTCAGAAGTTCTGCATTGATAAAGTGGGGAAGGAGACTTGGCTTCCACGAAGCCACACATGGTGAGCTAGACTTTAACCGTGTATCTAGTGCTGTCAAACTATTATAATATTAAATTGCATTAATGACTAGATACCTTCTGATTAATCACTATTGATTTGCTGTCTCCACTCCAGTTTCAACCGTCTGGACCTGCCTCCGTACCGTAGCCTGGAGCAGCTTCGCGAGAAGCTCATGTTTGCCATCGAGGAGACTGAAGGCTTTGGACAGGAGTGACTGAGAGTTTTGGACAAGAGTGTCCGAGGGCTTTGGACAGGAGTGACTGAGGATTTTGGACAAGAGGGACAGAGGGCTTTGGTCAGGAGTGGACACACATTGCTGACTCTCCACAAGGTTCACATGGCCACAGCCTCTGCATGGCTTCATTTCAGAGGTGGCTTCAGTTCAGAGGTGGCTTCAGTACACAGATCCTCTGAATACTCTTGCTGCCTGATAAGAGTTTTATTTTTATCTTAATTGTGGACTTCTGCATTTGTCTTGTACATAGATGAAATAAATGTTTAAATCTTGATGTTTGGTTGATGGAGATGTTTAGATCTGCAAAATTCCTCTAAAGGAGGAGGGGTCACTTTTTTTCTAATATAAATCATATAAAATGCAGGTAGAACACATGGAGAGGTTGAATGTTCTCCCTGTATCTGGGTGCTCCGGTTCCCCCTGCTACTAAAATCATCTAAATGTATTGGGTAGATGGCCATGCGTGCTTCAGGTATGTCCCTGATGATTACATTCATTATGATGCACAAACAAAACTCACAAACCACTTTATGCATTATGCTTGTCTGCTGCTGTCGCCATCATAAAGTGCTCTTAGGTCATTATAAAGAGCCTTCGTAGCTTTTAACAATATAATTTAGATGTGTAACAGTTATACACCTGTAAGAAGTAATCCATCAAGATCACAAAAATCACTATCTACACTGAACAGAGCTGCATATGAATGAACCTATTCTGTTATGCCCCTATCGCTCATTTAAAGTCATCACACACACTATGTGATCAATTTAAAAAAAACACAGGATACAATATTTTCAAATGTAAACTTTAACCCTTATAAAGGCATAATTATGTTTAAAAAAATGAATGAATTTTATTTTTGGCAAGGGGCTATATGGTAAAATACTGTCAAAACCAGCCAACCAAAAACAACTTATTCTTGTATTTTCCTAAATCACAACAGTAGTCATCTCAGAGGACATTGAAATCACCAACACAGATCAGAGAATCAACAGTTAAGACACATCACTCATGTTCTGCTCTGGCCCTCACAGAACGCTCCGGGTCAATCTCTCCGATCTGTGGACATCATACTAAACCCCGCCCCTTGTCATCAGCACAAACCACAAAAACAACCCAATATTATTTAAAAATGACTTTTATGCAAGTTGAAGAATACGACTTGTGGACACATTCGTAACAGGCGAGCCGTACAAGAGAACCGTCATCTAATGACTTTAAAAGAAACCCAGATCCTAGAAGAAGACACAACCCAAGGAATCCTGTCGCACAAACCCAACATGAGAACAAGCTTTCCTGGTTATCAGCCAGAAAATGGAGTAAAAAATATATCTCCAAAACTCCCAGACAGATTTCCCGTTTCATCTGCAGCGTAGAGAGGGAGGAGAGACTTGTTTAAATGACGTATATACAAAGTGGTAACCATGGAAACGGTGGAGATCTTCCATTCAGTCGTCTAAAAACAAGCATATACAAATATAACAGCAATGCAGAGGTTTGAACCGGGCCAACGCGGGAAAAGGTGAGATTATGTAAAAGCCTTTGAAAGTTAAAGTAAAAATGTATAAAACACGGCATCAGTGCTTTGTATCTCCGGCGGGGGGGGGGGGGGGGGGGGGGGGGGGGGGGGGGGGGGGGGGGGGGCCTGTGGCTAAAAGTTTATTTCATACAATTTTATACAAAATAAAACTGAAATGTTAAGATTAGATTCGAACTGAACTCATTTAAACGATATCCTGATATTTGATGTTTTTTATGTTAAGATGTGTTTAGGTGAGAATTACTATTTTCACTGTTTAGACAGAGAGAGACCCTAGAGACCAGAAGAGAGACCAGAGAGAGAGACCAAGAGAGACCAGAGAGAGACCAGAGAAGAGACCAAGAGAGGCCAGAGAGAGGCCAGAGAGAGGCCATAGAGAGAGGCCAGAAGGAGAGACGCAGAGAGAGACCAGAGAGAGACCAGAGAGTGAGACCAGAGAGAGAGACCAGAGAGAGACCAGAGAGAGACCGGAGAGAGGCCAAGAGGAGAGGCCAGAGAGAGACCAGAGAGAGACCAAGAGAGACCAGAAGAGACAGAGAGAGAGCCAGAGAGACCGAGAGAGACCAGAGAGATGCCAAGAGAGCGACCAGAGAACAACCAGAGAGTACATCAGAGAGAGAGCCCAGAGAGACCAGAGAGAGACCAGAGAGAGACCAGAGAGACCAGAGAGAGAGAACCAGAAGACACCAGAGAGACACCAGAGAGCAGAGACCAGAGAGAGAGACCGGAGAGAGACCAGCGAGAGACCAGAGAGAGACCCTGAGAGAGAACCAGAGAGAGAGACAGAGTGAGAACCAAGAGAGACCATAGAGAGAGACCAGAGAGAACCAGAGAGATACCAGAGAGAGACCAAAAGAGACCAGAGAGAGACCAGAGAGAGACCAAGAGAGACCACTGAGTCTGATTCGATTTTCTATTCCAGTGTCGACGACATCACAACTTGGTAAAGTCCTTTGACGAAGGCTAAAAACATAGAAAGAATTGTGTGATGAAAAACAGGTAAACATTATTTATTAGAAACTTAAAGTCTGCTGAACCTATAGTTTTGTTTCGAGACTGAACTGTTGTTTGTCGCGATAGAAAAAGTGTGAGAAATGGTGTTTTCTATTAGTGGATAAATCCGACGTATCTCCCCCAGGTCATTGTGCTGACGGATCCAATCCGTCCCCTGTGAGTCACTATTTGACCCTTTGGCTCAGACATAGAAATAAGTATTAGATTTTTACAGGAGCTTTGAAAATAGAGACCCAGCTTTAAGATCTCGAACAAATGTTAATGCTATAATAACCACGTGGAACTCTGAGGAGCACAGGGACTGGCCTCTGCTGTGACGCTGAGGAGCACAGGGACTGGCCTCCTGCAGGGACTCTTGAGAGCACAGGGACTGGCCTCCTGCTGGGACTCTGAGGAGCACAGGACTGGCCTCCTGCTAAGACTGAGGAGCACAGGGACTGGCCCTCCTGCTGGGACTGAGGAGCACAGGGACAGGGCCTCCTGCTACGACTCTGAGGAGCACAGGGACCTGGGCCTCCTGCTAAGACTCGAGGAGCACAGGGACTGGGCCTCCTGCCTGGGACTCTGAGGAGCACAGGGACTGCCTCCTGCTAAACTGAGGAGCACAGGGACTAGGCCTCCTGCTGGAACACTGATGTGCACAGGGACTGGCCTCCCTGCTGGAACTCGAGGAGCACAGGACGGGTCCTCCTGCTGGGACTGAGGAGCACAGGGACTGTCCTCCTGCTGGGACTCTGAGGAGCACAGGGACTGGGCCTCCTGCTAAGACCTGAGGAGCACCGGATGGCCTGCCTGCCTGGGACTCTGAGGAGCAAGGGACTGGGCCTCCTGCTGGGACTGAGGAGCACAGGGACTGGCCTCCTGCTGGGACTCTGAGGAGCACAGGGACTGGCCTCCTGCTGGGACTGAGGAGCACAGGGACTGGTCCTCCTGCTGGGACTGAGGAGCACAGGGACAGGTCCTCCTGCTGGGACTCCTGAGGAAGGCCACAGGGACTGAGCCTCCTGCTCGGGAAAGGACTGAGGAGCACAGGGACGGCCCCTGCGGGACTCTGAGGAGCACAGGACTGGCCTCCTGCTGACTCTGAGGACACAGGGACTGGCCTCCAGCTGGACTCTGAGGAGCACAGGGACTGGTCTCCGCTGGTCCCAGAGTCAGGACTAAACATGGGGGAGGCTGTGTTTTCAGATTTTATGCAGGCTAAAAACAGTCTTCCAGAATACGTGTAACGGGCAATATTCTAATCCAGTTTAAAAACAGGATTTAATCCTGACTTTCGATTTAAAGCCTTGTCCCTTGGTGATTCCGTGTGTGGACTGTGCAATACCAATAACCTTGCCTACTGCTAAAGGGTTTATGAACTTATGACATCTGTGGGACTTTTCCGGCGTGGCCTCGCACCAGCATTTTTTGTGGGTACAATTTGAGTAAACTTCTGAACCATCAAAACGACAGAATAAAAATAACATATGGTACAGAGGTAGAATAACGGATACAGGGTAGAAAAATAAAAGAATAGCAGAATACAGACAGGTAACAGAACCCATGAACAGAACCATGAACAGAACCATGAACAGAACCATAACACGCTCGAGCAGAGGAGTCCTTCTGTGTCCGTCCCTAAAAACAACAAAAGTTCACAACCTGGTCTCCCCTGTCCTTCCCCTGAACCCCCCTGGTCCTCTCCCCTGGTCTCACACCGGTCTCTCACCAAGTGGTCCTCTCCCCTGTCTCATCCCCATGGTCTAAACCATTCAATCCAAACGGGGAGGAAAACAAAAAGATGCAACTGTGATTTCCGTGGACAACTAAATTGGCGTCTGGTGCCCGAGAAGCATTCACGTCCCCTAGTACAACAAACCTGCTTTCTTCTTCTACAAGCACCACTTTCTCAGGACGGACGCAGCCAATCAGAGGAAGCAGTCACGTCCAGACACCTGGAGCACGCCGTCCATGTGGATGGAACTCTTTGGGCCAGATTGTGAACTTTGTTGTTTTTTAGGACGGACACAGAATGACTCCTCTGCTCTGAGCGTGTTCATGGTTCTTTCATGTTCTGTTCATGGTTCTGTTCATGGTTCTGTTCACACTGTATGTATTCTGTATTCTTTTATTTTTACACCTACCGTATCTACATGTACATAGTTTATATTTTATTCTGTCGTTTGATTGGTTCAGAAGTGTACCTCAAATTGTACCACAAAAAATGCTGGTGCGAGGCCACGCGGAAAAGTCAATGATGACATATGTTCGTAACCCTTTAGCATTAGGCACAGGTATTGGGTATAGCACAGTCCACACACAACGCAACGGCAACTGCACAAGACAAGGCTTTAAATCAGAAAGTCAGGATTAAATCTGTTTTTACCTGGATTTGAATATGCCCGTCACACGTTTTTGGAAGACTGTTTTTAGCTTGCATAAA